GGGAAGGGGAGGGGAGGAAGGGAGGAAAGAAGGAAGGCAGGTGATGGAAAGAGGAAGGAAGGAAGGAAGGAAAGAAGGAAGGCAGGTAAATGGAAAGAGGAAGGAGGGAAGGAAGGTGATGGAAAGAGAAGGAAGGAAGGAAGGAAGGAAGGAGATGGGAAGAGGAGAGAGGGAAGAAGGAAAGAAGGAAGGACATACAGATAGTCCTCAACTTACAACAGACTATTTAGTGACTATTGTAAGTTACAACAGCACTGAAAAAAGAGACTTACAGTATGACCATTTTTCACATTTACAAGTATTGCAACATCCCCAGGGTCATGTGATCAAAATTCAGCCATGTGGCAAATAACTCATATTTATGACGGTCGCAGCATCCCGGGGTCACGTGATCCCCTTTTGCGATCCCCCCAACCAGCAAAGTCAGTGGGGAAGAAGCCAGATCCACTTACCCGCCGTGTTATTAACTTAACAGCTGTAGCGATTCATTAAAAGAAAGATCGCAAAAGGGGGGGCGAGACTCATTTGAACAACTGCCTCGCTTAGCAACAGAAATTGTCGCCAGGGACCACCGCAACGCCAATATCCCCCAAAACAAGCTTGCGGCTCTCTGATGTCTGGAAGACAAATCCAGGGCTCCGTTCCCGTCGTAAGCCGAGGACTAACTACCTCTACCGTGTACGGTCTGTGACCGTACTAAAAACCGAGGTATTGACGTACCTGAGGGCTTATCGGTGGACGTTGGGACGCTGGTGACGGGGGGCATGGTGGGAAGAGTCGGCGGTAGGACCTTTAAGTTCTGATCGCTCTGGATTTCGTTGGTGGATATTTGGTTGGTGATGCGGTTGTACGTGGGCGGCTGGTAGACGCGGTTTGGCGGCGGCAGCGGCAGCACCGGCTTGGCGGACGGCGTCCTTTGGCAGTGCTCCTCCAGCTGTGCGATCACGAACGACTGATTGTTGGCGATGGTGACCAGGTGCTGGTACTTGTGCTCCAGGTCCTTGTACTTGTTCGCCAGCTGCAACATGTCGGCCGTCTGGTTGAGGATCTTGTTCTCCAGCTGGGACAGCTCCAGCGCGTTGTCCCGTTTCCGGATAATCTCGTGCAGCAGCTGCATGTACAGCTGGGTGACGCGGGAGTTCATATTGCGGCTTTCCTTGCGCAGCAGCTTGACCTCGTTCACGATCCCGCCGTCCACCTCCACCAGCTGCTGCAGGGTCTCTATCTGCCTCTTTTGCTTCAGGAGTTCGTGGTTGAGAAGTTCCAACTCTTGCTTGTTCACCCTGTTGTCCAGCACGGAGTCGGGCTCTTTGGAGTTCACACAAATGGCCCCGGTTACTCTTTGCTGGGGCACAATGAAGGTGTAAGTGCATTTGTCCTGGGCCTCGGCAGAGCGTTTGTATCTGTTGCGGTAAACGAATTCTGGCGCCTCTCCCGCCGCGTGGCTTTCGGCCTCTTCGGGCTTCTGCGCCTTGATCCCCACCGCGGCCATTAGCAGCAAGCAAACGGCCGCCTTCATTGTCCTTATTTCAGAAGGGAAGATGTTTAGTATCTACCGTAAACACAAAACAAAGGGGAGATGATGAATATGCAGTAGCACCAGCCCGAACACAACAGAACAGAACAGAGTTGGAAGGGACCTTGGAGGTCTTCTAGTCCCACCCCCTGCGCAAGCAAGAGACCCTTCACCATTCCAGACAAAGGGCTGTCCAATTTCACTGCAATTGCTAAGTTATTAACACAGTTTTGCTGTGTGCTCAGAAGATGGTTAGCTAAGAAATTATAATTGCACATATATATATATATTTAATTCCTTCAGTGGTGGTTCCAAAGAGGCAAAAAACAAAACCGATAGAAAATGCAGATTCGTTGAGCCTCCAGGAAAGCAAATGAATTTCGCTAAGCTGAGATATGGGAAGATCTGGTGGGTCATCACGAAACGGTTTCTGGGGAAAACCTCTCCTTTTGTAGAGAAGAGGCCTGTCTGCATTCAGTCGTTGCCGAATTCTAAAAGAGTGTTTTTCAAATTTGGCCGCATTAGCTAGCTAGCTAGCTGGGGGATTCTGGGAGCTGAAAAGCACCTCTCGCAGATGCTTCGAAGTGCGTTACAATCCTGTTCAGATTCAGGGCTTTGAGGGCTGCCCACGTCGGCCTCTCTCAAGTTCCCCAACCGAATATAAGACCGAATGGCACTTTGTGGTTAAAGGCAGGAGGGTCAGCAGCTCTCCCAAAACTCTGGAGAAAAGGGAGGAAGAAAGGCTCGGGTCAGGGCAGAGAAAGTCCACTTTTAATGTGCAAGATGGGACAGAATAGCCTCAGAGCAAACCTTTCTCCCACACCCCACCAGTTAAGGACTGCATAAACAGGAAAAGGAAGCAGAGAGATCACAGCATCCTCTCCCCCTGGGAGAGGGAGAATCCTGGCCATTAGGATTCGAAGCCCTCTCCCTCTCCTGCTTGGCTCCCGAGAGGCGGTTGGGGTCCACTCTGAAGCAGGAGCTTAATAACAATAATAATAATAATGATAAAGTTGGAAGGGACCTTGGAGGTCATCTAGTCCAACCCCCTGCTCAGGCAGGAAACCCTATACCATTTCGGACAAATGGCTGTCCAGTCTCTTCTTAAAGACTTCCAGTGTTGGAGCATTCACCGCTTCTGGAGGCAGGTGGTTCCACTGGTTAATTGTTCTCCCTGTCAGGAAGTTTCTCCTTAGTTAGCTTCATTCAAGGCTTTCTTTCTTTCTTTCTTTCTTTCTTTCTTTCTTTCTTTCTTTCTTTCTTTCTTTCTTTCTTTCTTTCTTTCTTTCTTTCTTTCTTTCTTTCTTTCTTCCTTCCTTCCTTCCTTTCCTTCCTTTCTTTCTCTCTCTCTCTCTTTCTTTCTTTCTTTCTTTCTTTCTTTCTTCTTTCCTTCCTTCCTTCCTTCTCTCCTCCCTTGCCTTCTTTCGCCCTTCCTTTCCTTTCTTCATCCTTTCCTTTCCTTTCCTTCCTCTTCCCTAGCTTTCATTTCCTTTTTCTTTCTCTTCCC